AAAAAAAGGTCCAATTAAAAATTTATCAATTATTCCTGCCCATACGTTTAAACTAAACTGGTGTTGATGTCTTGAATGCGCAATAACATGTGGGTTTTCTTCATCCCAATTATGATCATTATGAACATTGAATATACCATCCTTGGTAAAACTAGCTTACTAGAGTTTGCTCTGTTTATAAAATTTGTTACAGTATAAGGGCTACTGTATTAAACGTGTAAGAGAGAACATGAATGAATATTGATTTGAATTCTTAGAGTATGCGATATTTTACACGTTAATGGTCCTAGAAACTGTCTATATTTCCTCCTTCATCTTATTCTTTTCTTCTTCTTACTTGGTTTCTTTTTATTCTTTTATTTTCTTTTAGTATTATTTAATTTATACGATGGACGGAGAGAGACGCATAACGTTGCACGTACGGTTGTTTCTGCATGCAAAAGGTTATGCATCATTGTTTTAAATCGTGTGAGATTCACGCTTTCGCGTGCGTCCATGCGTGAGTAATGAGCACATTATCATCTTCGTTATTTACGCCTTGCTCGAAAGTTATTTCTAACATGAATATTAGACATGCACGAGCGCGATTTCGCGAATTTCACTCGATTAATTCTCCGCGGTTCCCTTTCGCGCGCGAGCCTTTCTGAAAGTGATGCAAGTCTACTTTTCTTTTTTCTAGAATATTGATCTCTCCTTCTACAATATTGCAGATTCAAATTCAAAAGAATTCAGCACGTCACATAAACCAACAATTCTCATTTATACTCCTTCACTCGAAGACCAGAGAATTAGAATTACAAACGTTTAACTCGAAACGGACACAAGATCAAAAAAAAAAATGTAAGTGACGACAGTGAAAGTGTGATCTCGTGGAAGTGTTTGATGAGCTCGCGGAAGAGAAGAAAATATCTTGTGAAACGTGAGAATTTCATCCATCGTCCGCTTCCTGTTGCACGAACACCATCCACCGCCTTAGCTTAGCCTCGGCATTTACGCCCAACCGATCAAGTTTTCTGCGTTTCGCCAATCGACGTATACGCAAGTACGTGAATACGTACGTGACGGCGCGCGACCTAAGTTTACGCGCCTCGATGGAATTCCACGACCTCTTTTCAGTCTCTCCTCTACACAGAGATACATAACACATATTTCCACCGTGTGGTGCTCGTCACCCTGCACAAATACGGAGTCGTGGCGTCGACTTAGCGCTCCGTTTTCGGCTGCCGCGACGTCTTATCAATCCAATTCCGCGCGGGTAGCAGTTCCGGTGCGGATTCACCGGTGAAAGTGGAATGGAAATCACATCCTGCTCGAGCGAAGTAAAACACCTCCTGCTCACTGTGCCACTAGTCGCACGTTTGCGCATCCGGCACGATCACGCGCGAGAAGAATGTCAAGTCGGACGAAATCGGTAGCAAATTAATTAGCGTTCGGCGTTTAGGTAGATGATCAGGTACTTACTTACTGGATAGGTTGGAGAAGAAGAAAGTTAGCCAGCGATTTGAACGGTGTGGAAAGTGTTCGCTTTCCGGTTCCGGGTACGACGACACCTTAGGCCAGGGCAACACGAGCGTTGCAGAAATACATTGTCGAATGACCCTTTACTTCACTTTAAATCGTGCTCGTATTCGTGGAATACTGCAGCGTAACAAGCGCGAATTTGGCGAACGTCGTTTCGGTCTGAACGTGTCGATTTTTCTCCAAATTGTTGTTAAATTGCTAAATGCTACGTTGTATTAATAAAAATTAACGCGCGTTTCTAAGCTTTCTCCGATATAGGACAATGTACTTCTGCAAAGAACGTCGTAAACATTTAACCTAATCTTCACGCACGGCATCGATTCCAAATGAAGAGAAATAGTTGTCGAATGAACGTATCTGTTTGTCCCTAATTGATAAAATACAACACTGTGCCATTTCCGTTTCTACGCAGCGTGGAGTGTGACAAAGTAACGCGGGCCAGTCTGTTACGTAAACATACTGTTTATTACCATAATCATTACATGCGAAAAGATGGTGGTAAAACTTACATATCAAAACGATTAACCAATGGAGATACACATTACGAAATGTAACTATACAAATATATTTATATATCACAGTCGTAGACAAAGAAATTAATTCTGTTAGTCGGTGTCGAAGGTTATTCACGGGCAATCAAGGTGTCCAACGATCGCCGGACGATCTCCGGGCGATTTTAAGCAAACAAACACAGTTTAACAGTTGCTTCTCACCGATCTTGCTGCGTAAATGCATTTAACACACACTGTCGTTCGAGAGGGAACGAATTAATTATTCCTTTGATATTTCGTACACGGTTACGCGTTGACAACGATGACAACACGGCGACGCTACTACGTGTCCTTACGAGCGGGAAAGTTACTTAACAGTTATTTAAAATCACGCCATCTTCGCAAATTTCTGATCTTTCTTTCCTCTTTCATGACTGTTCGACGTTCTACCAAAAAAATAGACGTAGAAGCAAACTCTGTCCAGCAGTAAGAGAGCTGAAGTTACACGCGCGTATTTTTTCCCCCGTATCGAGAACCACCGGGCGCCAGTTAGACTAACGATCAACGTCGAATAACAAAGCAACATTTTAACGCTATTATCGTCATGCCTACGTTTAACTCGCACCTCTAAAATACACAGGACAGAATGATGGAACAGCAGTCTTGCTCGCAGTCCGTTACTCGGACAGAATTCCTCGATTCGAAAAAGCTCCGGCAAAGTAAGAAGATTGTTGGCATAGATTTTATATCGATATGGCCCACAGTCTGAAAAATACTCTCCATCTTCTTCTTCACTCTGCACGCCTGCACTTCGTGTCGCGCATTCCACATTATAACGTAACGTTGTATATAGCGTTATACGAATTCGTTCGAAATTCAGGAATGCTTCCAACATTGAATAGGATAATTCCGCGTAAAACGGCGGAATTTCTCAACTTCGTTACATCCAACGGCTTTCATTCGTCGATTCGTGCCAACTACAATGAATCTTAAACGTCAAGTGCAACGACAGCGATCGACAAAATCGATCGACGAGCTCTCTAAATGCCAATCGAACAATTACAGCGGAAGTAACAGGTTATACATTTTGATTTTTCCTCTTTCTCCCGATTTTTCGAGAATTCCTCCGAGCGATCGAGAATTCGTAACGATCCTTTCTCCTCTCCCTCTTCTTTGATCGCGAAGAGGACAAGAAAAAGGACAATTCGCGTTCCATTCGTTTTTTTCTTCTTTTTTTTTCAAGATTACTACACACACACACATCGAAACGAAATGACAGTAGGAAGACGACAAGATTTGGCAGATTTTCCTTCGAAAGCTCGGAGATGATGGCCGACGTGACAATAAAGCGCGCGTAGAATCTTATCGGGCGCACACATAGATTCGTAGAACGTAGGCGGGACAGATGAACGAGCAGCCAAGCCTAAACGACCGTTCGTGGCTTCTCGTTGTCTCAGAAATTTGCTTCCAGGGAGTTCTCTAGCTCGTTGAGGGGCGGCACCATGGTCTGAAGGGAGAAGTATCGTGACCGGTCGGCGGCGTCGACGCTGGTCACGTGTTGAAACTGACACGGCTGGCTGATGTTGCTCTTGGTCGGCAATACTACTTTCTTCTGCACGGGCTTCTTCTTCTTCTTCCCCGGTATCGAGAGGCTGATGTTCTCCGGGCAGGAGACGAGTCTCTCGATGTGCTGCCAAAGGTCGTTCGCCGCTTTCGGATTGTCGAAGCTGAGGCCGGCGAGGCGCGTGTGATCGGACGAGAGACACATCGTGTGGAACGCCGGGCCCGATACCTGTGAAACAAAATGTGTTCCGAAATGTTTAGAATTGTCTACGAGTTAACCATCGCGGCGGGCTGATTAATAATTATTTATGCGATGCATCCTGTTTCTTTCATCTCGACTCGATTATACAATCTACGTTTCGCGTCAGTTTTATCTGAAAACAAGCCAATGACCTGTCGCGGAATTGTTTCGTCATCGAGCAAAATAATTTCCTCTCTTTTTGATCTCTTCCGTACACTTTAGTTTTTTCGTGAATTTGGCTCTATCACGAGTATAAAATTTGCCTTTTTGTTCTCAAAATGGAATTTGTTTGATTTGTGTACATGTTCAAATCGCCCCAATATTATTTCCTATATTATTATTCTAATAATATACTATCTCTAATATTATTTCCAACAGTAAAAACTAATGAAGCTAGTGAAAATCTAGCTTTTAAATATAAATAAAAACTAGTTAAAAGGTAATGAAGTTATTATTATTCTAATAAAAGTTAAATATTATTCTAATAATATACTAATAAAGTTAAATATTAATTCTAATAATATACTAATAAAGTATATTATTATGTACTAATAAAGTATATTACTATTAAGTTTAATACTATACTAATAAAGTATGTTAGTAAAGTATATTATTCTAATAATATACTAATAAAGTATATACTATCCCTAATATTATTTCTATTCTAATAAAGTTAAATATTATTCTAATAATATACTATCTCTAATATTATTTCCAATAGTAAAAACTAATGAAGCTAGTGAAAAGCTAGCTTTTAAATATAAATAAAAACTAGTTAAAAGCTAATAAAGTTATTATTATTTAACTAGTTAAAAGTTAATTAAGTTATTATTAATAAAAGTTAAATATTATTTGTAATGATATACTAATAAAGTTAAATATTAATTCCAATAATAATATACTAACAAAGTATATTATTATGTATTAATACTAATAAAGTATATTACTATTAAGTTTAATACTATACTAATAAAGTACATTATTCAAGTATATTATTCTAATAATATACTAATAAAGTATATTATTATGTACTAATACTAATAAAGTATATTACTATTAAGTTTATTACTATAATAATAATAAAGTATATTAGTAAAGTATATTATTCTAATAATAAAGTTAAATATTAATTCTGATAATATACTAATAAAGTATATTATTATTCTAATAATATACTATCCCTAATATTATTTCTATTCTAATAAAGTTAAATATTATTCTAATAATATACTAATAAAGTCAAATATTATTCTAATACTATACTAATAAAGTTAAATATTATTCTAACAATATACTATCCCTAATATTACTTCTATTCTAATAAAAGTTAAATATTATTCTAATAATATACTATCCCTAATATTATTTCCAATAATAAAAACTAATAGAGCTAGCGAAAAGCTAGCTTTTAAATATAAATAAAACCTAGTTAAAAGCTAATAAATTTACTTGCTCTAATATTATTTCTGTCTCTGTTCGTCCGTTTCTGTCTCTTATCAGTGGAAATGATTCATTATCTCAAACGAGTTATTCATTCTCTATATCAAGTGAAATTTGCCCAACTCTGTATCAAGGCTGGACAAAAGTGTTTCTCTCTTCCGTCGCAATATACTTTTCCTTTTGTTATTTGAAGGCAATTTTTTTCACCAAGTGAAATATTCGAAATTTATTCTCGTTCTCGTTGACAAACTCGTCTCAACTTTGAAACAGCCGCTTCTTCTTTCCGTTATTTCTTTTGATTTCAAGCAGAAAATGCTGCGATGCCGATCGAACGCTGTTTCCCTTACCTTGTACGACGACAAATTGTCGATGGTCTCTCTCCAAAGAGTAAAGCATGTGCCACGCTCAGCCAACAGTATCTGGATCCGCCTCTTGGATCTCGACCGTGTTTCCCCAAGGTCCAACACCACCACCGGGATGCCGGTGAATCGAAGCTCCCATCTCTCGGTTTGCGACGCGCTTCCCAGATACAGGTTGGCCAGCGACTCGCAAACGAACACCTGTTGTCCGAACGGAATGAAACGAAATGAAAGATTGAGCGGACACGCTTGTTAGCAGCGCGTTTAGATCAAACGAACGAATGCACGGTTTGCCTTCCCCTTCTCCGACAAATTCGTGCTCATTTGTTACTTATCACACCAATACTCGTTTGACACGCTCGCTGCTACGGTCACTGGTGTTCTATGAACGTTAGATTGGCTAAAAAGTAACTGCGTTTTTTTCTTTTTTTTTTTTTTTGTGTG